GGAGAGGGATATTATCAGACAGGGTGAGGGGGACGCTGGGTGACTCGGGGCGAGGAGAGGGATATTATCAGACAGGGTGAGGGGGCGCTGGGTCACTCGGGGGAGGAGAGGGATATTATCAGACAGGGTGAGGGGACACTGGGTCACTCTGGGCAAGGAGAGGGATATTATCAGACAGGGTGAGGGGGACGCTGGGGCACTCAGGGTGAGGAGAGGGATATTATCAGACAGGGTAAAGGGGCGCTGGGTCACTCGGGGGAGGAGAGGGATATTATCAGACAGGGTGAGGGGACACTGGGTCACTCGGGGCGAGGAGAGGGATATTATCAGACAGGGTGAGGGGGACGCTGGGGCACCCAGGGTGAGGAGAGGGATATTATCAGACAGGGTAAGGGGGCGCTGGGTCACTCGGGGCGAGGAGAGGGATATTATCAGACAGGGTGAGGGGGCGCTGGGTCACTCTGAGCGAGGAGAGGGATATTATGAGACAGGGTGAGGGGGACGCTGGGTGACTCGGGGCGAGGAGAGGGATATTATCAGACAGGGTGAGGGGGCGCTGGACCCTATACTAGTATTATATGTAAAAGTGGTGGCTGTGAGATATGTTAAATTGATCTATGATTTCAGAGGGACAGTTTAATTATTTGTCATTTTTAGGAGTATAAAATGTTTTCTATTCTGTTCAGATTATTTATTTTGTAAGCATTTTTTACGTTCGTTTTATCATGACGGTGGACCGTGTGCTGTGTGCAGATCATAGTATCCCCAGCCTAACCTGACAAAGGGGTTTTCAGGCTACGCGTTAGTAAAATCAAAATGAAGGTAAAAATGTTCTGTAAGTAGTTTTCGGAGCTGTTGAGCCCATATTGTCACATGTCTGAAGTGTTTGATGTTCTGAGCTGTCATCCTTCCGGCTCGTCTCCTGAACTCAAACCACAAAGAATCTAATTAAAGCTGCCCGCGTATCCTCTTCCTGCATTCACCTATCAGCTCACCCATTATCTGATCTCCACGTGTGGGGAACACAGAACGTCAGAGACCAGCAGGCCTGCTCGATTAGGACAAGATTAGCAGGGCCGTACAGAAAGGAGACAAAACAGCGCCAAATCTTTTTTTCCCGCTTGCAGCTTTTGAGTTTCCTGAGTACCTGGAGCAAGCACACTTGCTCCTTTTCACCACTAGGTGGCAGACGTTAAGGCGTGAAATTTTGGGGGAATAAATTATCTTTAGCATTTATTTAGCTCAACTTATTCTGCAGAGATTTACAAAATCATAAAAGGGGAACAAACAATAAATGAGATAATCACACAATGTTACAGGAACAATAGGTAGATCGATGAGGACCCTGCTCAAACAAGCTGATGGATGATCAAAGTGCTTTTCGAGGGCTCCAAGCACTCCACTTGACACCATAAGCACCACAGACCCCACGAACCGCCGCAGCTTGGTTGGGGTCTCGCCCAGTGGCGTACACACCGGGGTCGCATGGGTCGCGGCTGTGACCGGGCCCAGCCCACCAGGTGGCCCGGCCGCCCTGCAACCTGGTATGTACCCACTGTGGCCAGTCTCTTCTCCTGGGGGGCCCAGGAGCCGGCCATCTCAGGGCCCCAACGAGGCTGGCCCTGGTGTCACCCGGCTGGCCGGTCCTGCAGGCGCGCGAGGGAGCACTCTCCCACGTGAGTGCTTCCCCTTCAGCTCCCTCGCGCACCACACTGATACCGGAGCCGGAAGACGTCATCTTCCATCTCCGGTATCAGTACGCGACACGCATGGGAGCTGAAGAGGAAGCACTCAGCCAGGGAGAGTGCTCCATCGCGCGCCCGCAGGACCGGCCAGCCGGGTGACACCACTGGACCCCAGGGAATCCCCTCAGCTCTCCCAAAGGTAGGGAGGCTGGGGGGATTAAATTAAAAAAAAAAAACATGTGTGTGTGTTAGTGTGTGTGAGTGTGTGAGTGTGTTAGTGTGAGTGTGTGTAAGTGTGTGTGTGTGTGTGAGTGTTAATGTTAGAGTGTGTGTGTTAGTGTTAGAGTGTGTGTTAATGTTAGAGTGTGTGTTAATGTTAGAGTGTGTGTGTTAGTGTTAGAGTGTGTTAGTGTTAGTGTGTGTTAGTTATTATTATGATATTTATAGAGCGCCGTCAAATTCCGCAGCGCTTTACAATGGGTGGACGAACAGACATGTAGTTGTAACCAGACAAGTGTGTGTGTGTTAGTTATTATTATGATATTTATAGAGCGCCGTCAAATTCCGCAGCGCTTTACAATGGGTGGATGAACAGACATGTAGTTGTAACCAGACAAGTTGGACACACAGGACCAGAGGGGTTGAGGGCCCTGCTCAATGAGCTTACATGCTAGAGGGAGTGGGGTAAAATGACACAAAAAGGTAAGGATAGTATTAGACTAGTGACAGTTGCAGAAGAGGAATCAGTCAGGAGCTATTAACAGTTTAATTGATACGCTTTTATGGAGAAGTGGGTTTTTAACAATTTTTTGAAGGAGTGGAGACTGGGTGAGCATCTAACGGAGGAGGGAAGTGAGTTCCACAGGAACTGTGAAGCCCTGGAAAAGTCTTGAAGGCGAGCAGTGTGTGTGTTAGTGTGTGTGTGTGTTAGTGTGTGTGTGTTAGTGTTAGAGTGTGTGTGTGAGTTAGTGTGTGAGTGTGTGTTAGTGTGTGAGTGTGAGTTAGTGTGTGTGTGTTAGTGTGTGTGTGTGTGTTAGTGTGTGTGTGTTAGAGTGTGTGTGTTAGTGTTAGAGTGTGTGTGTTAGTATTAGAGTGTGTGTGTGTGTGTTAGTGTTAGAGTGTGAGTTAGTGTGTGAGTGTGTGTGAGTCAGTGTGTGAGTGTGTGAGTTAGTGTGTGTGTGTGTGTTAGAGTGTGTGTGTGTTAGTGTTAGAGTGTGTATGTGTTAGTGTTAGAGTGTGTGTGTTAGTGTTAGAGTATGTGTGTGTGTGTGTTAGTGTTAGAGTGTGTGTGTGTGTGTGTTAGTGTTAGAGTATGTGTGTTAGTGTGTGTGTTAGTGTTAGAGTGTGTGTTAGAGTGTGTGTGTGTGTTAGTGTTAGAGTGTGTGTGTGTTAGTGTTAGAGTGTGTCAGTGAGTGTGTTACTGTGTGTGTCTGTTACTGAGTGTGTTAGTTTGTGCGCGTCTGTTAGTGAGTGTGTGTTTTGTAAGTGAGTGAGTGTGTCTGACTGTCAGTGAGTGTGTATGTATGTCTGTCACTGAGTGTGTGTCTGTCAGTAAATGTGTGTGTCTGTTAGCTAGTGTCTATGCGTCTGTTCATGAGAGTGTGTGTGTGTCTTAAGCACTTACCTTTCTCCAGCGCCGGACTCCCTTGGTGCTGGGGATCTCTCCGCCCCGATCCGCCACTCTATGCGCATGCGTGGCAAGAGCTGCACGCGCATTCAAACCGCCCATAGGAAAGCATTATTCAATGCTTTCCTATGGACGTTCAGCCTCTTCTCACTGTGATTTTCACAGTGAGAATCGCAGAAGCTCCTCTATCAGCTGTCAGTGAGACAGCCACCAGAGGCTGGATTAACCCTCAGTGAAACATAGCAGTTTCTCTGAAACTGCTATGTTTTCAGCTGCAGGGTGAAAACTAGAGGGACCTGGCACCCAGACCACTTCATTGAGCTGATGTGATCTGGGTGTCTGTAGTGGTCCTCTAAGTGTATGTGTATCTGCCCCTACGACCAGGTGCCCGCCGCCATGTGTTGCGGCCCCAGCCCGCGCAGAGTAAGCGCGTGTGGGGGGGGGCCCACGGATCAGTTTTCGCACTGGGGCCCCATGGGTTGTGTGTACGCCACTGGTCTCGCTGTCTCCTACCCACCCTGGACCTACAACAAGGCTCCAGGTTCCAAAGGGTGAACCTCTCTTTCCCCAAAGAGTGAAGCAGGAACAAACTCTTAAAAGAGCTTAGTGATTATCCAAGGGAGTATGAAGAGCATAGCAATCCCTTGTAGCAGATTCCCACAATAAGAGACAGGACTCTAAATTGGAAGTGAAGTAGAACTGAGGTTTAATGACACATACTCTGATTTTATACAATTCTCCCATGCAAGGGAGACACCCACAGACAATTAGGAATTATCCAATCACCAACAGGTTGCATCCCACACATCCCCTCCCCTTAGCCTTAGAGGTAACATAGTTAACCGTACACACATTTTACACACTTTCTATAACTTTAAAACTATACATCATATTCATATAGAACTTACATTTTCTGAATCAGCATACATAGTGAATAAACATATCCAAAAATCATTAGAATCCGTTCAGCTATTCGGGAGTTAGCTGGAAGTCATATTTTAACTTCGCACATTTTCATGCCCAAAACAGTTCCAGAGAATCAGGTTGTGCGGCCGGTCTATTTCCCATGTTAAATATAATTCAAATAGGTGAACGGCAACCATTCGAATTGTGGAACGATGTTCAAATTGTCGAACAAAGTTCTAATTGTCGAACAGCGTTCGACTCTATTCAAATGGGTTGAAGTCTGGAGAAGGTAAAACTTCAGCGGTGTTTGTGCCGTCGAGTAGCCGATTTCAGTTCCATGAACTCGACGGCAAAACACAGCTGACCGCGTTTAGCTGAATTATAATGGCCGCCGCCACATGTTCGTTTGTCGAATGGCGGCCACTTCGACTACTTCAGCACTTCAGCTGCATCCGAAGTGCCAATTTAAAAGTACAGATCCTTTCCACCCTTAAATGGGTGAGTTTGCCACATAAAACACAACAGGAAGGGCATCGGGTGGATAGCGACCAAACAACATGGTGGGAAAGTAGCAGAGCTGGGGGTGAGAGTGGAATATGGGCCTTTAGGAGAGAGCGAGAAATGGGTTTGTGACATAGAAATTACTCGGGGGTCCATAAGCATTTCTGAACAGATGGGTTTTTAGGGACTTTTTAAACAATTGAAGACTAGGGGAGAGTCTGATGGCGGTTGGCATTCTATTCCAAAGTAAGGGAGCTGCCCCCGAGAAATCCTGCAGGCGTGAGTTAGCAGTAAGCATGCGAGCAGTGGACAGGAGAAGGTCACCGGCAGAGCGGAGAGACCGAGAAGGGGCATACCTATGGATCTGCGAAGCAATGTAACAGGGTCTGAAGTTGGTTAGAGATTTATAGCTAATGGTTAATATTTTGAACTGACACCTATAGGATACAGGGAGCATCTTGTGTGAGAAAGGGGCGAACATAGGTGATATTTTTAAGGTGGAACTGACAGATTTTGGCAACAGACTGGAAGTGAGGTGTAAAGCAGGGACGTATCTTACACGAGGCAAACAAGGCACCCGCCTTGTGCGGCACTTTTCAGGGGGCGGCAAAAAAAGCTGCCCCCAAATATCCAGACAGATCCCTTGCTTGCCTGGTGTCCTGAGGGACTCAAGAGCTGGCCAGCTAGCCACTTTTGACCCCCCTCAGGCTGGCGGCGGGCAGCAGACAGCGAGGGAGAAAATTCACCTGAGCTCTTCCTGCTCAGCTCCCTCTGTGCTGCTTAATGAAGCCAGGAGCCAGAATATGATGTCAGACCGACTCCCGGCATCACTAAGCGGCGCACGAGGGAGCTGAGCAGGAACATCTGCCTTCAAAAGCCCTGTCTGCTCCACAAACCAAATATTCTACGAAATTCCATCCCTCTCCCTAACTAGTCCAGCTGAGGGCAACTGCCATGCCATTCTTATAATACATGTAGCATGTCATTAATATCATACATGTAGCCACGTCATCAATATCATACATGTAGCATGTCATTAATATCATACATGTAGCCACGTCATCAATATCATACATGTAGCATGTCATTAATATCATACATGTAGCCACGTCATTAATATCATACACGTAGCATGTCATTAATATCATACATGTAGCATGTCATTAATATCATACATGCAGCCACGTCATTAATATCATACATGTAGCCACGTCATTAATATCATACACGTAGCATGTCATTAATATCATACATGTAGCATGTAATTAATATCACACATGTAGCCACGTCATTAATATCATACATGTAGCATGTCATTAATATCATACATGTAGCTGTGCCATTAATGTCATACATGTAGCCAGGTCAATAATATCATACATGTAGCTGTGCCATTAATGTCATACATGTAGCCATGTCAGTAATATCATACATGTAGCCACGTCATCAATATCATACATGTAGCATGTCATTAATATCATACATATAGTTGTGCCATTATTATCTTATATGTAGCATGTCATTAATATCATACATGTTGCAGTGCCATTAATATCATACATGCCCCGTCATTAATATCATACATGTAGCCATTCCTTTAATGTCATACATACATGCACAAACAATATTTTGGAATCACTGTGTGATGTGTTTGTAACATTATAAACCCCGTGGTCCATGTTGACCGAAGAATTTGACAGCAGATTGATACTGTATCAAACAGAGGAACATTGTGGGAAGAGAGCGCTGAGTCCTTGACTGAAAGCAGTGAGACGCAATGAAGATTAGGCTGAGATCGAGTGACTGGCGCAGACTGACAGCGACAACATGAAGGATGACTGAGAGGATCTGGGGAGGTCGGGGGCCACGGCTAGGTATGGCTCACTGGGACCGAGGGGTGAGTGGGCGCATTGCTCCGTCCCCAGTTCTGGGTGCAAACAGACTGAATGAGGCAGGGGCAAAATGGAGCAAGAGTAGCTACGCCGACCTGAATGTTCTGACACCAATGGAGGTGAGTCCAAGAACACAGAGACTAGGAGCAAGGGAGATTGCAAAGACAAAGAGGTACGTGTCACTTTAACACGCAGTGTGTGGCCTCCCAAGTGACATGCCGCAAACCCCCCACCCCCATGTTTCTCTGTATCTGTGTCTTTCAGGATCTACCTGGACTGTCTCCGTGTAGACTCACACAGGATTCGCCTGCTGGTAGTGATGGTGTTCCTGGTTTTTCTGATATTCGCTGTCAGCGTCACGCTGCTCTCCCTCTGTGAGTCCTTCTTCTGTCAATCAATTTTCTAAAGTAATTTGGGTTTTTCTGATTTCCCATGTGTCCTAAATCACAGACAATAGATATCGTTATATTGGACCCTCAGCCCCCTGCTTATGGTCCTTTATCATCTTCACAGTGTGCGCACCATATCCAAGTTAAGATTTCTTTGGGCGCCTGGCAAGGTATCACATTAGGGCCCCTCATGCTTATTTGACAATCATGGTGGCACCGTGAGTTGGCATATCTCTATATTGTTTGAGTGGCCCTTAGACTGCCAAGGGCCCTTGGTGTTATCTAGATTTCCCTGTGTTTAATGCCCCTGGGTGCTGCAGTGCTGATGGACTAAGGGGCTTTATCCACCAAACCTAGAATATAGAGAACTGAAAGCGAAATTGCAAATGTTTGCCCAATAAAACGGGAAAATTCCTCCAAACTCGTTATCTGTTTTTTATGTATTCTTCCAGCTCAGCTTCAGTTCTCAACAATTCCTGGTTTAGTGAATAACCCCACCGTAGGTTTTAGGATAAGAGGACGGACTTTGCGCTCCGCCGTGAGTGTAGGGAAATTCTCACTGTCCAGAACGTTTTGCATTTTCTTTAATCTGATGTTCTGGGCTCATTATCTACTTCCTGTTAATTCACCTTTTATTATATGTGCCATCCCTCCCGATTCCGCCTCTCTCCATGTCAGTTCACTGTTGCTTGTGTCAGACTTGCAGGCCGCTCCTTACCTGAAAAGGATCCAGAAGGAAAAAAGCGAGTTACTTCT